TTAGTTTGTATTTTTAGTTTGAAGGTTGAAGAAATCTTGAGATGTTCACCCAATCTTCATAGACTCCAATGCATATGTCAACCATTATGGATTCATGGGGCCTATCACTATCCCGATCTCAAATTTCTTACCCAACTTGTATCACTCAAAATATTATTCTATTGGACCGACATAGATGAATGCACAGTGATTAAATTTCCAGTTAATATCAAAAAGCTTACTCTATCTAACTTTCGCTTGACTTCGAAAAGAATGTCACTAATTGGGACATTGCCAAACCTTGAGATACTCAAATTAGAATTTGCTGCCTTTGAGAAAGAAATATGGAACACAAAAGATAATGAGTTCCAGAAACTGAAATTCTTGAAACTAGATGGCCTAAAACTTGAACAATGGAATGCCTCAAGCGATCATTTCCCTAGACTTAACGGATTGGTGTTGAACAAATGCAACAAACTAAGGAAGATCCCTTCCGAATTTAGTGATATTCCAACACTGCAGCTGATTGAGGCACATTCTTGTGGCATAACTATCCAAAATTCTGCTATACAAATTAAGGAAGAGCAACTGGAATATGGTAACGAAGAGCTTAAGATCATCATCTCTGGATCTGACTCATAACAGCGAATCAGTTTCTGCATGTGTATACACACAAGTAAGTTAAAGCTCGACAGATTCTCTTAATTTCCTTTTTGCATTGTAATCTATTTGATGTGTTTGGAATATTTCTTGACAAGTTTCAAACTTGACATGCGATTATTAGTTTTCACCCTTGTTCTGATGTCTCCTTTCGTTGTACTGAACACAAATCCGAATCTGTTCTGATGTCTCCTTTCGTTGTACAGAACACAAAGCCGAATCTTCCTAATTTCTTGCAAGTAAAATTAAATTATAGCCTGAATACAGTGAATTATTTGTCTTTGTAATAGTTAATACGAAAACTCACCTCAGATCTTTTGATGTATTTCTCTCTTTCTGTATTTTGCCTGACGGTGACAATAATAATCCCTCCCCAATGAGTGTTTCTAAACTGTACTGCTTTTGAAACAGATTATCCAAACATGCTTTCTTTGGCATTGAAAAATACTTTAGGGAGGTAACCGATATTCGTTTCGCCTCATTTAGGTAAATGTCACCAAGAAAATGTTTGGTGATATTATCAGACGCAAGTCATCCAAAATTTTTACGGTCTTCTCCTAATTTACTGGCATATTATCAGATACAGGTGATATTGTTCCGCTTCTCCTCCTCTGCTAATGGTGATTGCAATTCAACAGAAAAGAAATGGTGGGCTTTCTCCCCCATGACTGCTCCGACATGAGAAAGTGACAAAGTGTCTTTGTGTAAAAGCCGAGATTCTAACTTTTTAAGTTGAGATGCCTTACCTTTACTTATAGTAGGTGGTGGAGTACAACGCGTTTCTCTCGTATTGTGAGCACGTGGCTTGGAGCACGTTCCCGACTTTCCTCTAAATCCAGGTGGAGTATAGTCCACTTAGGCTAATACTAGATAGCATTATTCATTTGAACTTTTAACTGAAGCTACCCCTACTCTACCTACAAATCCAATAAGCAAAGCAAAAAATTTATGAATTTTAGCATTTATATTAGTATCTTCTTCTTTCTCAATTTGTTGAAAAAGATTCTAATTTGGACTTGGATCACAATCGATGATAAGAAGACCTTTTCTAATTTTCTATACCCTTGATAATGATGCATTGATGGAATAAACTGTGGAGAATAACAAATGTAATTTTGTTTTTTATGTTTAACTTATTGTACTAAACATAGGAAAATTAATTATCACCGTGTCAATGGCTTTTTACTTGAAATGGTAAAGATATTTTTTAACTCTCAAAATACACAATAGGTACTGATAATAGCACATTTGTTACG